TGAACATTTTCATATAGTTCAAGAACTGAATTGAACATGTACCAAAAGTTCAAGGACCACATTGCATATTGGATTAAAATTTGGGGATTATATTGAATAAATTAAAAGTTTATGGACCATATTACACATTTGGCCAAATTTTAGAGACTATTTATGTCATTATCCATTTAATACGTGTATCGCATTAACTGAATAATTACTCAAAGAGAGATAGAGTTGGAGAGTGCGGCAACGTTGAAGAAAACTGGGTGGGTATGTCAAGAGAGAAATCTAGAGAGATGGAGAAAGAAAATATGAGAGTTGTCCATGAAAATAAGTAGGGCAAAAATTCATGTAACATTTTATTAATTTAAACAATGTTTGTCTAAATTTCTTAATGTGACATGGCCGAAGTTTAACTTAAGAACTAGCTTGGCTACCTACCCGTGCCATGCACGGTACATAGGAAAATGAAATTATATTATGGGAAAATACTACTTAAAAACCTTAAATTATGCCTATTGTTGCATTAACTTCTCAACTTTTTTTTTCGTGTCACTAGTACCTCGACAAAAAATAAATAAACAAACAAACCTTCGATCACAATTCCGTCCAAGATGGCAATTAAAAATCCAACATTGCAGCTTGCGCGGATAACATCAGGCAAATAGAGTTGGTCTTGATAACGATTTGGGTTATTGATGTCACAATGAGTATGATTCATGGATTTTTGTGATATAAAGCAAAAGGTTAAGGTATTGGTATGACATTAGGCATAATCTAGGATATTTTTTACAAATTTATTTGAGGTATAAATTTCATAATGGGTATAGTTTAGTTATTTTTTTTTAATGGTACTAACCCTACTTGGTCAATGTTAGCTACCTTTGAACGAGCAAGGGACAAAAGGAAAATTGAAAAGGCAAAAAGGAAAAAAAAAAAAAACTCGACCATGTCGGAGCACTCTATCGTTGACCTATTTCAAACAAGTGCCATACGTACTGAACAAATTTTCTGTGATTTTCTTAACTGAGTATACTGAGATATTTGTTGAACAGTCATTTAAGAAACTTTTTTTTTTTGCAATTCGCATTATTTTGACCGTCCTCGAGCCGATACAAAATTAATGGTACGAAAATTGAATTATTGCAAACGGAGCATGTATAGAGTATTTTTCCTTTATTTGTAAAAAGGGTGGGAACGTGCGATCATTGTCGGCAATATAAGTTTGCGAGCCTTTTTACTTAATATAGCTTCTTGGGCAGATCGAGACCGTACAAAAGATGACATCTTTTCTTGTCATCTTTAACTAAATTATTACCGTACATCCAAGAATGTAGCAATTTAAATAATTTAAATAGTTTTTCATTATTGATTTATTCTTTCTTTGTTTTCTAATTTAATAGTTATTGACATTTTATCTATGAATAGTATCAATCTTATAAATTTATTATACAAATTTTCATTATATTCTAACATCATTTTTGAAATGATTATTTAAGTTTTCTAGCTTAATAGTTATTGATATTTTTTATTCAATAAATATTCGAACCTTTCAAGAAAAAAATGCTACACAATTGGTATTTTATTTTTCGAGCTGCTTTGTTTCATGAGATGAGATACAAGAAGCAATGGCAATTAATTTACGGTGATTTTCATTAACGAAAATCCATTTAATGTTTTGAGTTTTCTTTAGTACTTCTAAGATAAAAGGTTAATTTTTGGATAAACGACAAATAAAAATCATCCAAGTGTTCTTACCAAAAAAAAAAATCATCCAAGTGTTAATTACATTTTTCTTATTGCGAAAAGTGAAAAAATTTTAGGGAATGAAATATATTCAATTGTACTTTTCGGATGAGTTTTTGACAGAATATAAAAGATTAGGCATGAAAAAAAAATTCAATGGTAATGCAAGTAAAATTATACTATCTCTGGTGTAAGCAAATTATAAATCTTTTTTCAATTATATTAAAGAAAAATATTAAAGCGATTTTAAACTTCCTTCTTTATAACAAGCACGCAAATCTAGCACAATCTTATGAGAAATGCGTAATCAAATAATGACGCCCTCCTAATACTAGAACAGTGGTGATTAATATGATTATCGATTGAATCATTTCTCACTCACTCATTAAGTATGTTTCTAATTTACCGTCGTGCGACACAAGTCGGTCTCTAGTAACATATAGAAGACTATAAGGCATTTTGCTTTTCACCCTTTTAACATCTATATTTTTTTTTCTCTCTCTCAAATTGACAAAACAGTCATGCCTTGCCTTCTCTACTAAACTTGAATTGCATATTATCCAAAAAGACAAAAAAAAATCTGAATTGCACCGTTGTTATCTGATTTCAGAACCTCTTAATCAGCAGATAGACGATCCATTAAATCACTTAGGCTTGAGAGTCTCGAAAGCTAAATGGGTGGGCTTGGGCAATGACCTTTACAATAAAAAAAAACTTGGGCCATCGCTGTCACGACCTCGGCCGCACCCTAGGCCATGACCTCGGCCCCAATTGATGCACTCGGTCACGATGGATTCCCTCGGTCATAACCTCGGGCCATGACCCATGATGAACTCGGTCATGACCTCGGCCACACCTGTGCTGTCTCAACCTAGGCCACGATCGATGCACTTGAACATAGCCAAAACCTGAGCCACGATCCATGCATTCGATCACGACCGCTGGCACCAACCTGGCCCAAGCATTTTAGTATGTCATTTTTAGGCTATAGGAGAGCCATGGACAATCTATTGGGCTCGACCTTTGGAAATAGTCTGGCACATTTCCCCTCAAAATGGTACCTCTAAACGTCAATATCACATAACTGATCTTAAATTTCGTCTGGTAACAAATAATTTTCACTACATTAACTTCGGGATAAGTACACCACAAGTGTCATAACTTTCCTACGACGCTTACTTAAGTGCCATAATATTTTTTTTTCGACCACTTGAGTGCCACAATTTCTTAAAAAAACGTTTATTTGAATACCATAACTTTGAATTAATCACTCGAGTACCGTAACTTTTTCAAAATATTCACTCAAGTGCCCGAAATCGACGTGGCATGACACTTGTGGTGAACATTTGTAAAAAGTTGCAACACTGAAGTGATTAATTAAAAAGTTATATGTCACTCAAGTGATTAGAAAAAATTTTATGACAGTCAAGTGAGCACCGTTTATAAGTTTCGATACTTAAGTGATCGAAAAAAAAAATCATCACACTGAGTGAGCGCCCAACGAAGGTTAAGGCACTTGTAATATCATTTTCCTGTCAACTTCTATATAAGCAGATCTAAGTCTACTCATGGATATATTGACATATAGCCTATCCTCCATAAATCTGAAACTGAATTTGCATGATATGAAAACGTTAGTATTTTCTTTTCCCCGTTATTTTCCTTAAAAGTCGTTTTTTTTTGTCGGTTCTTAAAATTCGTTAAGCAGTGAACATTGCATTTATGCTAGAAATGTATATTTTTTTTGTGAACTCCCTAAAGCATCCATGCATTTTAAATAAGTAATCTCCATACAACACATGTTAAATTACATTTTTTATTGTATAAATATTTTCAATAATCATGAAATATGAATTTCATCAAAATAACATACTATTGTGGAATATATAAGAAAATTGACTATCAAATTTTTTATATCCTCCAACTAGTATATATTATCACACTAATTGTGGTGGGAGATTACTTATAAAGATATTGTCAATGTTATGTATGGAGAATCATTTGAGTAGCTACTGTACAAAATCTTCGGATTAATTTGAAATAATTCAATTTCTTGACATATTTTACTTATCTTTCTCTTAATCTTTTCAACTTATTTATTACTCTCAAATACAAAACATTCAAAATCATAGTGAAGTTCCCTATCACGTGGGAGAGAGAAATGAATAAATAAAACTAGGTCATCATTTTCTGTCAATCAACTTGGACAAAACTGATAGAAGAATTTGATTGCACCGATTTGATAATATTTTGGATTTGATTGTACTTTTTGAAAGTTTAAGGGTTTAATTGCGCTTTCCATACAAAATTTAGGACTTGATTTACTTACCATAAGGTTGGGAAAGTTCTATTTGATTCGCAGGCTCTGGGACATTTTTTCCAAGTATTTAAAGGTTTGACTGGTGATTACTTCCTTATCCGCTATAGGATTGATTCGTTTTTTGTTGCGTTGGAACGCTTGCGATCCCCAATTTCGTGATGCGCAATTGAAATATAGGAAAGAAAAACTTTTCGACAATGCGAAAAAATATGGGCAACAGGTCCCGAAGGGTATAAAAGGTCGACTAACGAGTTCGGGTAGCAATATTGGTGTCAAAAAATTCGTTAAATGCCCCGTATCTGATCGATCAAACTTCGATAAACCCTCGATCAACTCTATGTTAAATTTAAAAGTTTTCTAAAACAGGGACAAAATTTGAAACTATCAACATAACATCCCAATTGTTTATGTAGATTTGGGTCTAGTCCCCCAAAAAGATTCGTTATAGCCTTTGTACCTGATCGATCGAACTTTGATAAACTCTCGATCAACTCTAAGTCAAATTTTAAAGTTTTCGAAAATGGGGACAGAATTCGAAACTATCAACGTATCACGTGAATCGTTTATGTAGATATCGGATTTAGTCCCCCAATAAGAATGAGTTGGACCTGGCCGGATCGGGTAATCCAAACACATTTCGTGGAAATTATGTGGGTTCGTTCTAGAATGCACTCAAACCCGACAGGACTCACCCGTCTTTTGCTGCACTACGTAGGAGCAAATTGATTGCTCCACCTGCTCGAAACGATCGACTGACAACTGAGAACGGAGAGCAAAGCGAAAGGGCAAAGACAACGAAGTCCCCAATCAATATTTTAACCACCACCAGAACGCCACCGGCCAAGACGGTTCCACCAACCATTCCACCGAAGGAGGTTAAGTTTCATTCAATGTGGCCTTGGACTTCTAGCTCCAACCCCTCTTGTCCTGGCTCCTTTGTCACCGCATAAAATTGCTCTTCATCATCGTCGTCGTCATCATCTCTCTCTTTCTCTGAGAATTTCACACAGTTCATTCTAGCAAGGAGGTGGAGGAGATGGACACCGGCGCTTCGGAGGTAGCACACGATTTCCGTCCCTTCTTCCGGGTCTACAAGGACGGGCGCGTGGAGAAGTACAAGCTGATCGATCACGTCAGGCCCGTCCCCGCCGGGCTCGACCCGGCGACGGGGATCGAGACCAAGGACGTCGTCGTCTCGCCCGAGACCGGGGTGTCGGCCCGGATCTTCGCCCGCACGGCTGGCGGCGGCGGCGGCGGCCCGGATCGGAAGCTGCCTCTCCTCGTCCACTACCACGGAGGCGGGTTCTGCGCGGGGTCGCCGTTCGACTCGACGTCGAACGGTTTCCTCTCCGCGATGGTGACTCAGGCCAATGTCGTCGCTATCTCCATCGATTACAGGTACCTCCAAGAACGTCGTTGGTGACTTGTGATGCTTTCTCTAGTGCTGTTATTTAGGGTGTGGTCTCTCTTTAGTCTCTCCTCCTCAAATTATTATCCGATCTCGATTTTTATTTATTTTTCATTGTGTTGGGAAAACGACAATAATAATTAGGATTTTTATTAGATTCGTTATTAATGTAGAAAATAAACTACACATACACCGTTGGATGTTTGACGGTGAAAGACCTTGATGAGAAAACTAATTAAAAACACACGTATCACTAATCCAACGACGATGTATAAGAATTTTTCTACACTAATAGTAGAACGAATCACTGCTATTCTATTTTCTTGGTACTTTTACCTTCACCATAAATTTTGTTAACTCTAGGTCATCTATTATTCTCTCGTTTTCTAATTTCTATAAATTTGAAGAAAGCCAGACACACCTAAGAACGTAGGAACCAACCCATCTTAGAATAAGTGATAAATTTTAAAATAGAATTAAAAATGTAGGATAGCCGGGCTTTCTAGCAAATTTTCTTTATCGAATAAAGTGATATATTTTAAATAGATGTGGAAGAAGTGGGTTCTGGGTAGATACTAATTATTGGAAAACTAAAGTAATTTTAAATGATATCACCACTACATTTCCATAGATTGCTGTTGAAAGGATTGTTGGCTTCTTCGCTCAAAATCTTGACATGATGGCGTGGCATGTCAGAGAAGTTGCTTTACACCTGTACAGGTCAGCAATGATTAATTTTTAAGCCACATACTTTAGTAGAGTGGTGTCCAAAGAATAAAAATTGTAGGTTTAAGACATGATGTCTCCTAACTAATGTCATCAACTAATTAAAGGTTGTGGTCATGATTTTTGCTCCGTACAAATTATTATTGTACATGATTGAAATTCATAAAAAAGTTATGAGATAGAGATTTTTTCTCAGTCTAAGATGGTTTTAGGTAACTTTCATAGGCATTGTTATCTATTCAACACATGCATAGGCCTATGAGAAATTACACTGCGTATCGTAGAAATTCTGATTTTCTTATCTTGTTACAATTGTTGGTAGAAATTAAAGTTTATGTTAGCGGTAGATGTAATTGTCAATCGGGCGCGGGAGATATTGCGATAAGTTTCATCATTGATCTTTAAGATTTAGTAGATTTTGCAATCCAGTTAATGAATTTTTAATTACAATCACCCAATGCGCTAAGTTTTCATGTTTTTTCAATTGATGCATTTTGATTAGAATCCGACTAATTTTCGAAGAAGGGCATTTTCCAATGTAAGTGCCCACATGGCGGACACGCCCAATTTTAGATGACGCATCATTGTCACGTGTCCACATTGCCAAATACTTCATGGAAATATTGGCTAGATTCCGGTTAAAGTGTATCAATTGTAAAAAAAAAATGCGGCACATTGGGTTATTCAAATCAATATACCGATAATGTAGATTGCAAAATCTATTAAAGTTTATTAACCATCGTCGAATTTTACCGGGTAATATAATAATTATAGCTATACGATACGTATAGTTATGACCGTTAGCCAACATAGTTTGTAATTACTTCCGGTAATTGTAGGTTGGCCCCGGAAAACCCACTGCCCATTGCTTACGAGGACTCGTTCGCAGCCCTTAAGTGGATCGCGGGCCACTCGGACGGATCCGGCCCGGAACCGTGGCTGAACCAGTACGCGGATCTCGGGCGGGTCTTCATAGTGGGGGAGAGCGCCGGAGCCAACATAGGCCAGTACGTGGCGGTCCGGGCCGGCGTGGCGGGCATCAGGGTCAAGGGCATGCTGGTGGTGCACCCGTTCTTCGGGGGCAAAGAGACGGACGAGATGTACAAGTTCATGTGCCCGACGAGCTCCGGGCTCGACGACGACCCGAAGCTGAACCCGGCGGTCGACCCGGACCTGCCGAAGATGGCGTGCGAGAAGGTGCTGGTGTGCGTGGCGGAGAAGGACTGGCTGAGGAACAGAGGGGTGAAGTACTACGAGGCGCTGTGCGGGAGCGGGTGGGAGGGGAAAGCGGAGCTTGTGGAGGCTAAGGAAGAGGCACATTGCTTTCATTTGTTTACCAAGAGTGAGAGGGCTGAGCAGCTGATCAAGAAGATGGTTGATTTCATCACCATGGATTAGATCAGATTAGAACAGTTATATGAGGAAAACGCCCTTTTAATTATGGTTGATTTTTCCACATAAATTATCGGAGCTTCTTCAATGCATATGTAAAAACATTTCTTCTTGTTATTTCTGCTTAAACACCTTGCAAATTCACTATTGTGAGTCAACAGAAGGTACGAGCTGGAAATCTGGAGAGAAGCTTAATTTGCCACAATTTTTAGGCTCCGTTTGTTTCACAAAAAAGGAATGATGTGAAAAATATTTTCCTAAATATGCATGATAGTTTGTATTGCTTGAAATAATAAGTCAATAGCAAATATTTTCATTATCAAATTATCTACATATTTTCGTGGAAGATGAAATATTTCGTTCATTTATTTTTGTAAGAGATACAAGCGATTATTTTTTGAAAAATATTTTTCAAATCATTCTTTTTTCGCAAAACAAGCGGAGCCTAAGACTCCGTTCGTTTTACGGAAAATAACTTATGGAAAAATGTTTTCTGGATTTTCCGGTGTTTGTTTCACAGAAAATAACTTCTCACGAAAAACATTTTCCTCCCCATGGGCAAAACACCTTCACTTTTGAGGAAAATGACTTCCTTTTTTTGAGAAGAGGAAAACATTTCCCTCCCCCTCCTTCTTTCACCATTTATTTTTTTATTTTTCTTTTTCTTTTTTTTTCCTTCTTCTTCTTCCTCAACCGGTCGCCAGCCGCCGCCGGCGACCGGCTGAGGAAGAAGAAGAAGAAGGAAAAAAAAAGAAAAAGACAAAAAGAAAAGAAAATTAAAAATATTTTTTAAAAATAAAAATAAAAATTATTAAAAGTAGTGCAAGGAAGACAATTTTTTCCATACCAAACAACGGAAAATATTTTTCGAAACTTTTTCAGATTTTAGCCGAATACCGGAAAATTGTGTCATTTTCTAGGAAAATGACTCCCTGGAAAACATTTTCCAGAAACATAATATTTTTCGTGAAACGAACGGAGCAAGAATGCTAATGAATGTGAATCAATGAATGTGTGTTCAAAGAAAGCGGTCAAACTCAACTAGATATGAGCAAGAAACAGGGATATACTCAAGCAACCGATGATACTCAAGTACTAGATATACTCATGCGACCGGTGATACTCAGCAACCTGAATATGCTCAGCAGACTGAACATACTTAAGAACATGGATATACTTAGGAAGTCACAGCGATCGATGAAGTCAACCAGTCTAAATCTTCAAATGCAAACGAAGATCATGATAGAAGATTTGACAATAACTAAGTGTTCTTGAAAGGTTAGATGATGGTATTAAAGCCTGATCCTCATTTAAGGAAATGATGAAAACTAAGGCGTTCATATCAGAGATAGTTACAAAAGGAGTAGATGAAGTACTTTCAAACGAAAGCTGTATAGAAGCAACGTAAGAAGAAGTATACTAGTTCAGAGTGAATGAAGTATAGTAACTTGTGCCTAGACCCAAATATCATCCAATAATTGGGACCAAATTGGTCTTCAGAAACAAGCTGGAAGATAAGGGTAAAGTGACCAAAAACAAAACAAGACCGGTGGCAAAAGGATACTCGTAATAAGAAGGAATCAATTACGACGAAACTTATACACTAGTGACCAAGTTTACAGTCATAAGGCTACTTTTTTCTTATGCTTATTACTATAATTTTAAATTGTTCCATATGGATGTCAAGAGCACATTCATCAATGGTTAGATCAAAGAAGTATATGTAGAACAATCTCATGGATTCAAATATCCAAGAAAGTCTGATCATATTTATAAGCTGAAGACAACCTTGTATAGTCTTAAACAAGCGGTGCTTGGCATGAAAGGTTAAGCGACTTCTTATTTGAGAAAAGATTTGAAAAAGGTAAAGTTAACACCACTCTCTTCATAAGAAAGGAAGGTAAAAACATTCTTCTCATCCAAATATATGTTGATGATATTATATTTGGTTTGGTTAACAAATGTTTATGCAAGGAAATTTCTAAGATCATGCATAATGAGTTGACATGAGCATGATGGGGAATTAAATTTCCACCCTGGTCTTTAAGTGAAGCAGTCAAGAGATGGAACTAATAACTATTATACCCTTAGGGCACGAATGATGATTATTCTCTTCCCCGGCCCTATTTCTGGCTAGAGATAAAAAAAATCTATTTATATTCCCTTAACGAGTTTCTAAGCAAAAAATAACGTTTGATAACGATATAAAAATTTTATTCCCGGAATAGAAATTTGTTTGAGAGGTTATTCTTAAATTTCTATTCTCGGCGGTGGTGAGCGGGCGGCAAGAGGGGGAGGACAGGCGGTGGCCGAAGGCTGGCGGGAGGCAGCTGGCGGTGGGGGACAGGTGACGGGTGACGGTGGGGGGCGACGACAGATGGCGAATGTGAGCAATAAAAGAGAGTTATTAATTTTGTTTCTATTCCAAAAATAAAAAAGTAAAAAAAAATACTTCTCATTTCTATTCAAATCTATTTCTAGGCTAAAAATTTGTCCCAGGAATAAAATAAATGAAATTGTGTTGGCAAACGAATTTCTGTTTCAAACCTATTCTTAGTAATAGAAATATAGAGAAACAGAATGGTTATCATTTACGCCCTTAATGTTCAATTTTAGATAAGTCATAAGCATTTGGAAAAAGGCTCAATCAAATCATACTCTTACCGCTGACTTATTTTCTCCCCTGAAAATGAGGGCCAACTTCATTACATGAAATTGACAACATCTTTTTAAAAAATATTATTGCAAGGATCATATAAAACTTATAATTTTGAGAGATTAATTCCATGTAAACACTAGGACATTTATTTCCAAATAAAAGCTTCAGTTTTTGAAAAGAAAAACAAACATTCAAAAGATAAATATTTCAAAATCTAAATCTAAAATTAAATTTTTAATTAGTTATAATTTTATATACGTATTATAATCAACCGTGTCTAATAATAATGTTGTAGAGAAATATTCTGATAAATCTGCCGTGATTTATAATTTATTGTAAAATAGAAGTCAAATATAGAAGGTAGTACTTATTACGTTAATAGAAAATCAGTTTGTTTGGTAATTAAAGAACATTATAACCATTTCTTTCAAAACAAACATATACGAAATAGACTATTATCCACAAAACAGATCTATCCATAATCTATACACTAATACGGACTTCTGATTGCCACGTAACTTTTGTAGATTGCATAGTCATCACCTTCATTAAACTAATCATATTACCTCTCTATTCTTAAATTATTTAAACAATTTCTAACACCTTACCCAATCCTTTTTTTCCAAAATTCAATTAATCTAAATAATTAAAGTCACAAAAAAATTGGACACTATAATTTCAAAATCAAAATATGGATAAACTATTTGAACCACATTTTAGAATAATATAGCTTGCATTATTATAACTATAATTGATTAAAATATTTTAATTGAAAATTAAAGTGATATCAGAAAATTAACAACCTACGAACTTGTTTTATTTGTTAATGGATACAAATTTATAAAATTAGGTGTAGAACTATTTTATGAAATGAAATTTCTCTTAAAACATAAATTCATTGAATTTGAATACTTCTATTTCTTGTCACCCGATAAAATTATGTTAGAATTTTAAGTACAACATTATTTTCAATGGGGAAAATTTTTCTGAATATATAAAATTCACTTAATCAATTGAGATAATAAAATGAAAGGGAGACAGGGAAACACATAATATTTTTTTAAAAATTATAATAATATGGCTTATTTCATATGTAACTTATAGAAGTAAATTAAATCATTCCATTTTATTTGATTAAAGCTAACAGAAATATTGTACAAACCACATGAATATTAAGATAAAGTTGAAGACATTAAACAAAAAACCATAAAAGGAGTTTAATTGCACGTTGATATTCTTTCTACTTAACTTTTATGGCAAGATTATCACTTGTTTAGTTTTTTTTTGGTCGGACACTTGCTTAGTTAAAGTCGTCTATTATTAAGAATGGATGTTATGAGCCAATCGTACTACAGTATCATGGCATCTTCTGATTCGTGTACTCTAATGCATCAGAACCAATGTCTTTTTTCCTTTCTTTTTTGCTTAGTAAAATTAATTTTGTTAACCTATTGAATTAATCAATTCATATTAAAAATAAAAAAAATACGAGCCATGATAAATATTGTGAACATATTTGTTTATTAGGATTGACTCTTTGTGTATCACATTTTCGTTTAAGAAAAGATTAACAGCTGTTTCTATTGATACTTGAATTTTCGTCGATATGTCCAATGAGATAAAAACTCGAGACTTGGGATTTCTAATTGCGGCACGGCCTGTTTTTGGGCCAAAAAGAGTCATTTAATCGTCATTTGAGTCCCAGTTGTATATATATAGAGATGAAGAGCATACCAATCCATTTGTATTTAGTTATCGTTTTCTTAATAAATCAAAGGTTGACTTTTGGGTCAAACCTAAAAGTCAAATCTTGGTCAACATCCCATTAAAATTTGTGAAAATCATAAAGAGACATCAAATTTATTCTTACATGCATAGTTAGCCTCTTTCTCTCGAATATGGTCATTCAGAAATACACTTTTCACATCTATTTATTATAATTTAAAATCATGATAGCATGCATAGGCTAGTAGCAAACGAATAGCTTTTAACCTTGTTACCGTTGCATACATTTCATCATAGTCTATATATACCTTCTTGTGAGTAACCTTTTACAACTAGTCTGGCTTTGTCTCTTATGACATGTCCTTTGTCGTCTAGCTTGTTTCTAAATACCCATTTGGTGCCAATTACTAGATAACCATCCTGACGTGGTATTAGCTTCGAGACTCCATTGACTTTGAATTGGTGAAACTCCTCTTGCATTGCTTTGATCCAATTTTCGTTAGTGATTGCTTCTTCAATTTCCTTGGGCTCTACTTTAGAGATTAGAGCTGGGGAGTTCATAAGTTCCTTGAATCACGATATGGTCTTGATGCTTTCACCAGCATCATCGATTATCTGTTCTTTAGGGTGACTCGTCTTGTACTTCCGGTCTTTGAGCATTGGAACTTGATTCTGACTTTGTGATTCAGATTGCTAATGTTGAGTGATGTCTAAATTTTGCATTAATGATGGCTCATCATCTTCA